TATATATATATATATATATATATATATATATAAAGCGGAGGCCTTGAGTGTCGAAAAGAGAAGAAACAAAACCCCGATGATATCCGGACAGCACTTTCGTTTCCCCTCCCCCCCCCCCTTCCACCCCACACAAAGAAAAGAAATGCACCGATAGAGTTCCTCTCAGTCGCCGGTGTAGCCATCTGGCCGGCACGATTCACTTTGTTGTAGCCTATGCATCATCCTCACTGACCATGAGAGACATGCAGCGCTCCGTGAAGTACTCGTTCACGGGGCCAGGGTTCATTACCAGAGACAGCGCAAACGGCAGGTTGGTCGTTATCTCCAGCGCATCCCGCTTGCTTAATAAAATCGCTGTAGGGTCAGAGGTAGAAGACGACGACGCCGCGGCATCGGTTTTCGATAAAGGGCAGTCAAAGATGCTGTGCACCACGTCCATTGGCGTGACTAAGATGCCTTCTTGCACAGGAGAGTTGAGCAGTGCTGCGTAGGCAGCATCTTTCAGCGAAGTCAGCCGTACCTTCAAGTCTTCCGACACAGCCGTGCTTTTTGGCGACGACGACTGCGACCCAGCCTGATAGACAAGGTATTCAAAGATGAGGAGGCTGGAGAGGAAATGCACGGGACAGGTTGAATTGAACGACGTCTGCTGCAAGCGGTGTCGCAGGTCCGTTGCACTCGATGCACTCTTCGCCAACAGCCCGATCTGCGAACGAGTCATAGATGCCGCGTCGGTCAGCAACTCAGCGCACAGCGGAAACGCCTCCACCAGGCGCTGCGCCGTCTCCTCGGCGGTGTTGTGCGCCAGCGACGGGTCGACAAAGGCCGTGAGCATCTCAAGTGTGGAGCGCCACGACACGGCTGTGTACGCGGCCACCCCGTCCCACCGCGTAGCACTTACGCGAGTTGCTGCGTGCTTTGTGCACTCGACAGCTAGCGGGAGCAGGGTACGCAGAACGTTTTGCGCCCACAACTCCTCTACACGTTGGGGGCACTCACTGCGAGCCTGCCTCAGGAAGTGGGTCATGGTGCGCGTCAAACCGAAGACAAGCGCGCCGCCTGCGTCGTGCACGTCGGACGTAAACTGTATGGGCACCTCGGCCGAGCCAAGGAGCCGCTCCAGCAGACGCGTCTCGGGGATGTAATCGAGCAACACACAAGCTCGCAGTATCTTCGTCACGGCGTGCGGGTGCGCACTGACAAGAGGGGCGACTTGCAGCTCCTCCTCGTAGTTGTTGACAAGGCGCCCCAGCAGCGTTCTCATCGCCGCGTGGCACGAGGCCGACCGATTGCTCGCCGCATTCGCCAGAGCGTTCGCGAAGGACACCGTCGTTTCCACGGTCAGCGAGCGAGGAAAGAAGGTGGCACCCCTCGAGACAAAACTGACGAAGTCGTCGCAGCGCGTGACGCGCAAGGCAGAGAGCGTCGCGGCGAATTGGGCGATGGTGCGAAAGGACACCTTTTGCACGAGCTCGGCAGGGGGGCACTCACAGAGACGACTTCCGACCAGTGCGGCGATGACGTTCACCGCTGCCGTCGCGCCCTCCGACGGCGGCATCCGTCGAAGTGTCTGTAGCACCTTCACAAGATCCCGCAGAAGAAGGTGGTGCGCATTGACAGAGATGGCATTCAGTGCAGTCATCACGCGGGCGTCCTGCTCTGAGGCACTGCCTTTCGCGGCGGCAGCTTTTCCACTCGCTATTTGCTCCAGCATCGGTAACAACTTGACGAGGTCGGGGTAGGAGAGATCAAACGGAAATTCTCCGCTGGGATGTTTTTCTGCGGACTCCTTCGGGATCTCACGACGGTGTTCAGCGTAGTCAAAGACGTGCCGAATGGCCGCGCTTGCGACAGTCTCGCAGGTGACGGGACAGCTCCGCGGGTCTTCCAGCTTTGCTCCCCCGAAACATGCCACTTGCACTTCCTCTACTATTTGGGGGCACACCACCGCCAGCTGCCGCAGTTCGCTGAGTTCACCTGGAAAGAGGATGAGCGCGCGTGCCACGTTTACCCAATGAGATCCGCGCAGAAGGCGGCCATGCTCAAAAATGAACTTCACGAGGTTGTTGCGCAGCAGGTGCAGACTATCACGAGGCAGCTCCGCTAAGCTGTGCGATGAGGCGCTGCGCCGGTCCTCCACACATTTTCTGCACGACTTGGACAGCGCACGAAGCACTCGCACTGCCTCAAACACGTTGCTCGAGCGCGCCGGTTGGCTGGCGCTAGCCGTCTCGGAGGAGCTGCTATTGCCACTACTACCGTTGTGCACCTCCACCGCCCACTTATCGCCACAGTAGAGGGGCACCACCACCAGCATGTTCAACTCATGCAGCTGCGATTCCGCGAGCGCCAGCATGACGCGAGCCAGTTCGTGTAGATTCGAGTAGTCAAGCCGGGAGATGAGCACCGGAAACACGGCCGCGTTCTTCACGCCAACCTTGCACAAGTACTCGATCGTCTTGCTTGCCTGCGCAGAGGTCATTTTCGACACAAAACGCATGCGCTCGTAGTCGTGCGTGATGCAGGCAGTGATGCTGCGGACAAAATTTGCGTCTGGATTCGCATTGACAATGGTCGCCGCGAAGGCTGCGTCGCGTGTGAGCTGCCCGAGGGAGGAGCGAAGATCGCTGGAGTTCCCCCGGCGGTCCAACTCCGTCCCGGCCATTATGGGCATGACGGACCCCTTCAAGAACGCCTTGAGCTCATCGCGCGGCACGGGGGTCTTCCCGCCAGATATGTCCAAGAGACTATTCAGCGTTGTGGCGGCTTGCTTGATGGCACCAGCCGTTACTAAGGTGAAGCCAACACGGCTCACGCGCAGCATTTCGCGTCACTGTGGCAGCAATGTGCTCCGCTTCAAAGTTAAGGATGTATGGATCCCACAGCAAAAATAGACTGCGTAATAACAGAGTTTCCTGCAGACGGTAAAAAGGAAAATAAAAAAAGAAGCGGCGCAAAACAGCAACAACAGCACACAAACACCAGAGAGGAAGAGGGAGGAAAGAGTAGTTGCTTAACGCCTCCACTGCGGAGCGTGAGGGAAAGAATCGTGTGCGTTAATTGAGTATGTCGCATCAAGGCAGAACACAACCAGCGTTGAAGTGTCCTAAGAAGCACGGGCAGCGAAGAAACTCTCTGCTCGTACGGTCGCCGCCGACACCCACACTCCTGTCGATCAAAATGTGCCGTTCCATAATACTCTGGACTCTGTAGCGCGTGTTTCGTGGGTAAAAAAAAAGGGAGTGAACCATGTTCCCTTGAAAGTCTTCTTTTTCAGTCAGTGAAGTGCTGTATACGGTCACGCACACACAGGCACACACACTGCTGTTCGAGAGCAGAGCCAAACAACTGCAAAAGTCCGGGAAGGAAACTCGAAACGCAGCAGAACACCGTGTGACGCGGTATTGACGGTTGTTACACGGGTTCTGGTGCCTCTTTGCACAATTCGTGCAGGAAGACGTTGAGCACGTGAATACGCCGCAGCAATGCGTCCCTGTCGGACGTCATCAACGCGGTGAACGCGGCCGACACCACTCGATGGTTGCCTCCAGCGGTGGACCACCGGGTCCCACCAGGAAACGTCTCTCCCGCCTTCGACCACAGAGCACGCGTAATCTGTCGCTTCCGTTGCACCTCAGCTGCCACGGTGTACTCCGCATCCGGACACAGGCCCCAGCCGTAATCACCCGTGCGAAGCAGCTCTTGCACCGACGATGCGTTTGTTTCGCCCGTGATGCGAGTCCCGTTATACAGCAAGCCAAGGTGATTGAAGTACAACCAAAAAAGGCGGAATGCCGCAACGCGCGGGAGGACCGTGCGGTAGGGGATGAGGAAGTACTCCTTTGCGTCTTGCCCCACCTCGTCGCCGCCGGCTGCTCCGTCCCGCACCTCCACCGCGGAGGGATTCCGCGGGCTCTGACGCTCGGTCTTTTTCCTCGAAGCTTCTCGTGCGATTTCAGCTCCCTTGAACGGTCGGAGGCGCTTCTGCAGGCGCACCGGCACCGATGGCGTGCGTTGCTCCACCGCCGTCGGCCGCAGCGAATTGACCCCGGACGACGTAAACCGCGGCTGGCCTGAATAGCACACGAAGGCGGCGGCGGCGGAGCGAACGCCAGGTAAAGGAAGAGGCGGGGTGTCGCCCTTCAACTCCGCGTCGACGGCGGCAGCATCGTACCCCCTACCCGTGTCTTTTCCTTCGACGTCGTCCTTCACGTGCACCGGGGCTCCGCGCTCACGGTAGAGGAAAGGAATGGACGGCGGCAAAAAGTTCTGCGGCTCCACGGCCCGCGACACGCTGTTGTTCATGAGTAGCTGGCGAAACGCCTCGGCCTCTTGCCACGCCGTCTTGTGGCCCTCCGTCTCCTTCGGGGTCACACCGCGTGGAACCGCCAGGTTGTCGTACCACTCGTCCACCAAAGCTGACGTCAGATGAAAGCGACGGCGGCGCATGGCAGGATACGATGTCGTCCGCTTTATTGCGGGCGCGGAAGTCTCTGCGAGCGCCGGCGACAAGGGAGAGGCCAACGGAACTGGTGCGGGTGGCGGTAGGGTCAGCTCAGACGTGCAGAGCGTCAGCGCAGACTCGGGACGGATGCGGGCGAAATCACCGCGACTAAAGGCCAATTCGTTTGCGTCGCGGACCTCCTCGACTTCGCGGCGCTGCTCCTCCGACGGCGCCAGCGCACGGTGGACGGACGGCGTGATGCCGGTGACGGTGTATGGCGCTGTCTGGGTGTAGTCCGCGAACGTTTCGTGGAAGGGGTCGATCAAAACCCCGCCTGTTAAGACACCAAAGGTACTGAAGATGAGGCATTCCGATTCAAACGAGGAGTCGGCGTCCCTGTTCGCGTCGGCCGCGGCACGGAGGAAGGTATCCGGTACACCGTTCTTCTTCAGTGAGGGCACAGGAAAGCTCGCACACGCAGGGGGGCGATCGATGCCGGCGAAGACGTCGCTTGGGCAAAATTGACCGGTGCTGTCCGCCGTGCGGCAGAGGAGACCGTTGATGTACACGAACACGCCGCTGCAGGGTGCCTTCTTTTTTTCAAGAGGCGTGGATGAAGAAGGGGTGGCGCGGGAGGCGGAATGGCTTGACCGCACTCGTGGCCGTGTGTTGCCCCTCGCGTGCTCATGGGTCGTTTCCTTTCGCACACGCGGTGACGGGACTGCTTTGGGAGGCATGCAGAATCTTCTGGTACAGAGTTAAAGAGAGAGGGAGAGCGGCAGAGAGAACGCGTGAGTGCGGATGTGCGGAGAACAGCAGCAGGAAAAAAAAAAGAGAGGGAATGCAGAAAAAGGAATACGTGTAAACAGAGACAGGTGCCCCGAGACAGGTCAACATGATGTCCACTTATGCACTTCCGCTGTGTTCCCGAGCATTGAGCTAAAACCGTTGCGTTTAAAGATGAAGATGGAATAAAGCGTTTCATGTCCCGTGAAAGAGAGTGGGGAGCAGCCGTGCATTCTCCCCACCCGAGTCCCCCCACTGCGGGTACATACGGATGCATCAATCTGCTTTCGGAGGAAAAACAAAGGAGGGGAACAACCGCTGAAATCTAAAAAAAAGCCCGTTGCTTTTCAATATATATATTGGAATCCTCTTTGCTCTCTTTGCATTTGGAGTGGTACTCGCACATCCATGAAAGTTGTATACCGTCGTTAACGCAACACACACGCGCATCAGTGCTGCACTACATCAACGGCGTGGAAAACAACAACAAAAAAAGCAACTCGTGTACCGAAATCGCCGGTGCAGCAACACCACACTACAGATCTATTCCCTGCACCACTTTTTTTTATTGCTTAAGAGTCGTTTTCTTTTATACATCTCAGCTGTGTTTTGTAGTTGAGCAATAAAAATGCTAATACAGCACGTTCGACTCCGCGACGTCAACTTTTCTTTGCAGCGCCGGAGGCGCGACGGCCAGGCTTGTGCTTCACCACAGAAGACCTGCGGCGCGCCGTCGGTGATCTCGCACGATCCTCGGTGCCGGTCTTCGAAACCACAGAGGGGCGCGGCGGACGCATCGAGCTGCGCCCCTCTTTTCTGTCGCCGCTGTCCTCCTCGTCGCTGCCACCTTGCCCGCTCACCGCCAGCGACGACTTTCGCCGCTTCTGCCGCTTGCCGTCGTTTTGTGGCACAAAACCGAACGCCTCCGGGGTCAGCTGCGAGAACAACGTGCCAACGTACTCTGCTGTGAGTTGGATGGGCTGTTTGCTCGAGGCCAGACTTCCGCGCTTGCTGGGGGCGTCCTCGTTGCTGATACGGCGGTTCGGCAAGCCCGGCATGTCGCCGTCGCCGTCCATGGCGGATCGGGAAAGATCCGCCTTTTCGGACGAGTCACCCAGCACCGCCATGCCACTCCGCTTGTGTGACGCGTCGGTCAACGCTCGTTTGAGGTCGTCTGCGATTTGCGTGTGCAGGTTCGTGAGAACTTCTTCGACAGAAGATTTATAAGAGATGAGGTGGTGCGCGGCGGCGTAGGCTTCCACGCTCATGCCCTCTCCGGCATCCGCGACGGTTTTCGTGTTCACCGCCACTGGGAAGTTGGCAGGGACGAGGGTGTAGAAGAGCGATGCTGCGGTGTTGTTGCCGTTGCGGCCGCTGCTGTTGTTCGCGCTCTCCGCCTCCCTGTGGACGGCGGAGCTGCGGTACCGGGACACGGCGTTCGGCGTTGCGCAGTCATGTAGCTGCTGCAGGGCGTAACAGTCCGAGGGGCTCATCCCGTCCAGGTGCGCGTCCAGCACCACCACACACAGGTACGGTTGGGTGCTGGGCGATTCGAGGACGTGCAGCAGCTGCGAAGTGGACGTCGTGATCGTCGTGATAAAGTTGTAGGAAGAGAGCGGGGGTTTCGCGAGGACGCTCGTGATCACCTGCCCCACCGCCCCTGCGTTGCCGCGAGCCTCTGCCTTGGCGAAGACGTGAATCAGCACTTGCCGTGGGACCGCTGCAGAGGCAGACGAGGCGGGCTGGGAGAGAGCAGCGGCACGGCCTCGTAACGGTGCTGTGGCCTTGACAGGAATCGGGACGGACCCTCGGGGTTGCGACGTCGTTGTTTTGTGGGTAGAGGGCAACGAGAGAGAGGAACGACGCCCTGCTGCAGAGGGCAGGCGCCGTCTTTCTTTCATGGGGGAGTTGCCCAGCTGATCGGTATTGCTCCTGTCATTCCCCTTCTCGGCGTTCCCGCCGCTGGCACCAGAGCTGCTGCTCACGTCGCGAGGAGCGGAAGTGCCATGGAGGCTCGAGGGAGCCAGGCTCTTGGGGTCCTTGGCCGCTGGCGCCGCCGAAGCGGCTGCGTTTCGCAGCGCGCTTCCCGCAGATCCAGCCAGCGTTGCGGCCGAATCCGTAATCGACCGGGAGTACATCTCCACCAGCTCATGCCGCAACGTCTGCAAGGCGCCGACGGTGCTCGCAGCTTCCTGGCGCGCTTCCTCCATCGCGGCCAACACCTCATCAAACTCTTTGCTCAGGTTCGTCAGATCGCTCTGGTACTGCTTCGCGCGGCTGAAGCGCGTGCCCCGCTGGAAGGCGGGTGAGAACTGGTTCCGAATCACGTTGCCGGTGGACTTCACCCGCGCCTCCGTCGGGATCTCCGCCGCATTCTGCTCCATCGCAGAAGAGATGCGGTTGCCCTGCAGCACGCCCGTTGCATTCGGCAGCACCAGTACACCGACAACTTCGTTGTCGAAGACGTCGTTGTCTTTCACCGTCGACTCCGAGTCGTTTTCCATGAGAATGCCGGTGGCGTTGTCGAACACGCTCGAGTTCTTCAGAGTTGGCGGCGCCTCGGCGGGGCCGCCTCCGATCGGGCATACGATGTCCACGCCCGTCTTGCAGTGCGACACGTTGTTTCGGTCAAAGGTGCCGGTGGTGGAGATGAGGATCCCGTTGCCGGTGCAGCCGGTGATGGTGTTGCGACAGCACAAAAAACCCAGCGTGTCACGCTTGTGCGACGGGACGGCGTTGATGCCGTTGTAACTTGACGAGTGCCGCACGATAATGCCGACCGGTGACTGCACAATTTCGTTGTCTGCCATGCAGCCGCCGTACGCGATGGCACCGCATTCCCCGCTACCCAACACACGGTTCTTGCTCACATCGGTGCGGTTAAAAGGGGCCAGCATGAGGCCCGTTACGCACTGAACAATACGGTTGCTCTTCACTGCTCCCTCCGCACCGGGCATGCACTTCACGCCGATCAGGCGTCGCAAGATGGTGTTGCGGTCTGCTACGATGCGTCCCCCTTCCTGTATCACGATTGCCACGTCGCTTGTGTGTTTGGCGTCGACCAGCGCGCCGTCCTCACCGCCGTTGTCAGCCGGCAGCGGACCCAAAAATCGGTTTTGTGAGAAGAGCACGACTGCGCCGGAGTGACCCACAACGGTGCCACCGAAGATGTTGTTGCGGAAGACGGCGTGGCCCTCGTCCATCGCCACAACGTCACCACGCCCGTCGGCGGTGGCGTTGTCCGCAAAGACGCACCGCTCAAATATCGTCGTCTCCGCCGGTGATCCATCTGCACTGCTCACGATGTCCGGCAGCCTTGCCCCCGCCGCACCGACCGCCAACGAGCCGACAGACGTGCTCGTCGTGGCACCACTTCCACTGCTGCTGACGCTGCCACGGCCGCCTTTGCCCTCTGCGACGTCGAGCAGGCCGCGCACCAACACACCGCACACGGCGTTGTTCGCAAACATGCAGTCCTTGAAGGTAGCATTGAAGCCCGTCACCGCGAGCGACGGCGCTACCGCGTTGCGCACCGCATCCACGCCGACGTCGTTGTCCACAAAGCCGCAGTTCTCGACCCGCGGCTCGGCGAACGGGCCAACGAGCAGTCCAGCGGGCAGGTGCACGTGAGTCGTCGCCCGCAGCACACGCGCGTTGGCGGGCAGCAACGTCGTGTAGAGGTTCCGAAATGGCAGCACCAACGCACGCTGCTCAGCGGAGGGCGGAGCGACCACCGTCGTCGTTGTGGCTATCGCCCTCCCTCGCGACGTCGGCGCGGACGTAGCTGCGCTGTCACCATCTGCGGTGCGCGTGTGCCCACGAAAGATGCAATGACGCACCTGCGGCCGCGTGCCGTTGCCCACAACCTCCAACCCAGCTCGCGCGTTCGCATGAAAGAGGTTGCGCTCCATCACCGGGTAGGCGCCGTTGCAGACAAACGCGCCGATAACGTTGTGTATGAAGCTGTTCTCCAGCAGCAGTATGCGCGAGGTGGAGAGTGCGCTCTCGACGCCCGATTCACTGCGGCCAACAATGAAGACGGGCACATGGCTGTCTGCGAACACATTCCCCTGCACCACCGCCGCCGCCCCGGACGCGTTGTCGCTCTGAAGGTAGAGGGCAGCGCTGCCCTGTGACTGGCCGCTGAACTCATTGCGGTACAGCAGCGGCGGCGCCGTTCCAACGCTGTCCAGTAAGATCGAGGAGTCCGTGGCGGCCTTAAAGGTGTTTTGAAAGACTCGCGTGCGGGACGCCGAGGCGTGTGCCGGCACGGTCACCAAGCGGATCACCTGTTGCTGCGAGACTCGAAAACTCACGCCGTTGCCGTCAAACACGTTGCCGTTGCCGACCGTCGCGCAGGCCAGGTGGCCCTCCACCAAGAACGCATCGCCGGCGATGTTCACAAAGGTGTTGCGCTGGAAGCGCGTACTGTGAGGGCCGAGCTGGCCGCACAGCCGCACACCGCACCGCGCGTCGTGAAAGCGGTTCTCGTCCCACAGCAGCACCCCCGGCGGCGGCATCTGCAACAAGGCGGAGTAGAGTGGCACGCCCACGAGGACTTGGGAGGCGTAGAAGGAGGCGGAGGGTGTCGCCGTGGTGTCCATCTGCAGCAGTGTGCGGTCGTCATCCTGCGTCAACACGACCTGCCGAGTCGTCACAAACGCCTGCGCCCGTTCATTGCCGGAGAGGTCGTTCTTGCGCAGGAGCGCGTGCGCAATCTTGTGCTTCACGGGGCGCAGCTCGAAGGGCAGTCGCACCTCAACGGGAACGTTTTGCTTCCCGAGAATCAGCTGTGACCGCACCTTCTCGTGGTGCGTGTCCACCGCGTCTTTCAAGACACCACGGTTCGCGAGACAGTTCCCACACTTGATCTTTGATACGTGCATCGCGTACACACCGTAGCGGCGGTTCTGCGAGATGCGATTGCCCTCCACGATGGTGGAAAAGTCGAAGCCGCTAAAGCTGCTGTCCATCACATTCGTATCCTCACTTGCGGCGGGGAGGCAGACGGTGGCGGCCGACGCGGCGCCAGCAGCATTCGCCATCGCGGTTGATGATGACGACACCCCCGCTGCGCCGTTTGCTGAGACGCCGTGGATGGTGCTGCGCGTAATCATAGGTAGCCGACGCGCCGCCGACGGCGACGGCAGCATAAAAGCAGAATTGCCTTTGACACCGGCACGCGGTGAAGCGTCCGCCGAAGCAACGGCCTGCAGTGTGTGGCATATCTCGAGCCAAATGCCGTCCTTGTTTCCTGTAATGATGTTGTCCGCTACAAGAGCGTGGTGAATCGAGTCGAGTCGGTTCTCTCGCTCCTCGTTCGCTGCTAAGGTGTAAGACGGCGACACCGGCATCGTTAGCGGGGAGAAGGAGCCGAAGCTGGCGTTCAGGCTATCGACGGTGGCAGAGGCGGCGACCTGCACAGCAGCCAGGATGCCGGTGACGCACAGCGTCTGTGCGGTGAAGAGAGCGCCAGGCTCCGTCGTGGCTAGCGCTGGTGTGTACTGGTCCATTGCGAAGACATCGACAAGAGGCTGGTCTCCCACGGTTTGGGGAATCACCTTGGTGTTGCCAGGCATTTTGGAGAGCATCTCCAGTTTGTTGCCCACGACTTGCTTCGGCTGCTCCATGTGGAATGCCTTGTGCAGAACGCGGTGGTGCTGCAGGACGCCGCGGGACACCCGCACGCCAGAGTTGGTGTGCCCTGCAATGCGGTTGGCGCAGATGCTCACGCGACTGCCGCTCTGAATCCACACACCGATGCCGCCATCTGCAGTGCACACTTCTGTGTAGTCGGGCAGCTCGACACCGCCCAGCCTCCCCGACACGACGCTGCCGTTCACACCGCGCGGGGGTGCTGCTGCGAAGGACCCGTGCGCAGCGGGCACACAGTACGTGGCAAGTGTCAGTCCCGCGGAGGAGGCGGCTACGAGTTCCGCGAGGTGGCGCAGGGCGTCCGCCATGGTGAAGGTGAGCACCACCGCGAGGTGTGTCATCTGCTCGTAGGCCCGGCGGGTCGCTTGCACAGACGACGTGGCCGTGGGAGTGGCGAGCAGATTCTCCTCCACATCTCTCACCGACTCCGGAGAGAAAAAGGAGCTGTTGAAGATGCACGCACGAAAGGAGCGCGGTTCGTGTAGTGCGGCCTCGGGACGGCACCAACCGTTGTTTGCCTCAATCGCACCGTTCGCTATGTAGCCTTTGGAGCCACTCGCGGCGTAGACCCCGGCGAGGCCGTTCTCGCGAATGTCGTTTCCCGTTGCAGAAACGGCGGAGCCGAAGCGCAGCAGCAGCCCAAAGAAGGTGTTCTTGCAGATTTTGTTCTGTTCCAGGTAGGGATGGCACCCATAGCCAGCGCCGAATCCGATGCTGCACTCTGTGATCGTGTTTCCGACGAAGCTCACCTGCTTTAGCTGACGCTGTCGCCGGTGATCGGCGTGGTCGAGCACCTGCGAGGTGCCGAGGAGAATTTCGTAGCCACCGTAGGCGTTCTTGATGTTGCCGCTGTTCGGCGTTTTGCGCTCGGCGTGTGCGTTGTCGAGTGCAGCCAGGTCCCAGTGCTCGAAGCGGTCGTGGTACACTCCCATAACGCGGTTGCGTTGAATTAGATTCTTCTCGAACATGGCGCGCAGCCGCCCTTCTCGTGCACCGACCGTAGCGCTGTCCATGCCGAGGTAGGGTGAAGGGGTATCGTGCGCAGCGGTCTCTATTATTGATGCTGCGGCCGGCGTCGGCACAAGTGACGGTTGCCGGCTGGTGTGGCTGCTGGGCAAGGCCAGGAGTGTGCGCAGCGGGCTGCCGGTAATGACGCTCAACAGCAGCACCCCGTGCAGTTCGTTCTCCTCGATCGTGTTGCTCGTAAAGGTTGGCGAGGCACTGACCAGGCGGGCCTTGACCACTTCATCGTAGGACAGCTGAAAGGGCGTAGCGGGACCGCAGAAGACGACGACGCCAGTGCGGCAGTGCCGAATGCGGTTCTCGCGAAACATGCCTTGCCCGCCCACGTCAACCAGCACCCCCGCAAACCCGCACTGCTCAATCTCATTCTTCTCGTGGAACTCTGGGTTGGCCATGGCAGCCACGTACACACCCGAATAGGTGCAATGGTGAATGTGGTTGGCAAAAAAGTGGCCACGGCCCCCGCTCGAGCAACAGACTCCGTCTACGCAGTTGTAGATGTCGTTCTCGCGCACCTCTTGCGCCGTGGAGTTGTTGACGACACACACGCCGTGCGGCGCGTCGTAGATTGCGTTCCGCGTCAGCGACGTGGCGTTCTGCTCGCCGTCAAAGTGGTCGAGGAGAATGTTGGCCTCGCCGTGCGCATGAATCTTGTTGGTGCGAATCACCGTCAGTGTCTGTAGCTGCGCGAAGAGGGAGCGCTGCTGCGGGGTCTGCACGACGGACGCAGAATGAATGCCGAGCTCCTCCCGCAAGACAGCTTGGGCACGCGCGGTGGTGTAGGCGCAGTCGCCACGCACGCCGTACGCGTTGTTCTCGAAGATGTCGTTGTTCTCGACCGTCGCGTTCGGGAATGAGTCGAGGAGCACGCCGCCGCTCACGTTGTGGGAGATGACGTTGTCCGCGATGACGCTGAGGGTGGCACGGGCGGCGCTAGCGCGCCGCTGTTCCACGGTGGAGGCGATGGCGTGTAGGACGCCGCCCTTGTCGGTTTGCGTGGGGAAAGAGCTGGGCCGGCGTGATGCCGTCGCGGATGCACTACGCGACTTCGGTGAGCCCTCCTCGCCCGCGCTACCGTGGCGATCGCTCCCGGTGTCGACGAGAAACATGGAGTGCAGCTCCACCACCGCTGACTCCAGCGAGGAGCCGACGTGGACGCCTACGTCGTTGTGCGTCAGTTCATTCGCCGTGAAGACACCGAGTGAGTCCGGCGCAACCTGCAGACCACTCATCTGGCACCGAGTGACGGTGTTGTTCGAGAAGGTTGGGTGGGCACGGCGCTGCGACAAGACGCCGCAGCCGTAACACTCCTCAATGACGTTCGTCGTCAGCGTGCCTTTGCCGCCGTCCGACAAAAGAACGCCAACGGCCTCGCGTGCGACATTGTTCTCTGAGAACGTAGGGTTGGCCGTATCAGCGATGTAGACGCCACACTGCGAGTTTTCGTAGATGCGATTGTTCGTAAAGGTACCACCGGCGTTCTGCACGCAGATGACGCCGCAGCCAGGCCGCGATCCATACATGACGTTGTGCGCAAATGTTGGCTCGCTGTAGGTGCCAACGACCAGCACGTTTGCCACGCCGTTCTCCGTCATTGTGTTGTGCTCAAAGAAGCCGCGGCCTTCGTTCAGCACGACGACACCGCCTTGGGGGCTGCCCTCGATGCGGTTGCCGCGGAATACCGGTGAGGCGCCTTCCGACACAAGGACATTCGGCCCTATATTTTTCGACAGGCGGTTGCCGACGTACGAACCGAGAGCGTTGTTACTGGCCTGGATGCCAGCACGGAGGCTGCCCACAACGTCGTTTCCCTGCACGTAGGGGTCCGCATCCAGCTCGACTAAAATGCCCTCCCCGTTGGCGTGAAGGGTGTTCGAGAGGACGGTGCCGCGACTGCAGGCGTCAATGCGAATTCCGGCGTCTGCGGAGGCGGTGATGCGATTACGGCAGATAAACGCGTCGGAGCCGGCGGTGCAGTAAATCTGCGCCGTCAGGTTCGCGGAGAGGCCGTTGAGGAGAATCGTGGGTCGACTGCCGTTGGCGACCGCCACGCCGCCTTTGCGGTTCTGTGAGATGGCGTTGGCGCAGATGAGCGGCTGACTGTGCTCGCCGACTTGAATGCCGACGCCGACGTGGGTGGTGATGATGTTGCCGATGATGAGGCCGCGGCTCATGCGTGACAGCTGAATGCCGTCCCGCTTGCCGCTTACCATCTCGTTGCCGATGATAAGGGGGTTCGCAAAGTTGTTGACCAAAATACTGGCACCGCGGGAGCGCAAGAAGCGGCATCCGGTGATGAGGGGATGAGCGGCGCAGTCCACGACGATCGCAAAGGTGCCGCAGTCCTCGAAGACGCACTCCTCCACTAAGCCGTATCCTTGCCGACCGAAGCGGATCGCACAAACGTCGCAGTTGGAGAACTTTGTGTTGATGATGTCAACGCCTTTGTTGCCGCGCAGCTGCAGCATTTCCCGCACGTGCGGCGACGCCTCTTTCTTCGAGGAGAGGTGCGTGCCCAACATACTGTTTAGAATGTCGATAAAAGGATTTGCGGAAGGGGCAGACATCCCTTCGCCGACGGTTAGGGCGGTGCCGGACATGATCCCAAATGAGGGCTGCAGGCATGTCGGGTACGTCTGCAGTGTCGACTGCACGAGCTGCTGCAAATTGGCCTTGACGTGGTTTAATGGGTACCACTCGCCTTCCATGCAAATGAGAGCGTTATCCGTCGCCGCCGAGGAGGTGATGGTGTCGGTGACGGGAGAGGGTGGAAAGCTCGCCGCCTCCGCCGTGAAAGTCGGCGGCCCCCCACCCTGCACCGGTGTCCACGAGAAGGCGCGCTTCGGGTTGGGCAGCTCATCCGTCAAGACACGGTAAGCGACTTTGAGGGGTGAGCTCGAGACAGGCAGGAGCGCGGCATCAGAGCCCGGGCTCCTACTCATCATTACGGGAGAGGTCTGCTGAATGTAGGCAGATCGGTTGACGGCGCACTGCACGTCAATGCCAATGCGGCACCGATCCAGCACGTTATCGCCAGTAATGCGAAGTGTCTCGTGACCCTGGACGTAGCCAGCGCCTTCGTCGACCAGCGCGAGAATCCCGCACCGCCGCTGGCAGCAGACGAGGTTCCCTTTCAGCTGCGCCGTCCCTGGGCCCTCGATGAGGATGCCGATTTCACCACCCGTCAGTTCGTTCGACGCGATAGTCGGCGCGGCCCCCTGCGTCAGCACGATGCAGCAGGCGTCCCCCGTCACGTTCAACGGCGACCCGCCTGGTGAGGTGCCATGGCCGTCGTTGTCCATGTCGGCGACGACGGTGAAGTGGCACCGCAACACCTCCACGTGGCTGCATGAGGTGTGCGGTGCGCTGCCATCGCGACCCACGGAGCTCATCGCCCCGGAGATGACCATCGCGTCGCCGCCAATGTTGTTGTCGATGATGCACTCTGTTACGGCCAACTCGCCGCGGGTGTCGATCTCAACGCAGCTGTTGCGGTGCGTGCGGACGTTGGTAGACTTGATGAGACCGCCAGCGCTGTCTTGCACGACGATGCCCACGCCGCTGCTGCTGTCCTTGATGGTGCACTCATCAACGTGCGCCACGGCGTTGCCGCCGATCAACAAGGAGGTGCACTGACAGCGGTAGAGGATGGGGTTGCCATTGACGGCGACGACCGCCGCGTCCATCTTGCTCGTGCTGCGAGACGACACAGAAAGGTGCTCCATGTAGACATCGATGCCAGCGGTTGTGAGGGTGACCGTGGAGGACCTCGAGGACAGGTGCGGGTCTTCGCCCTCCGCCGCGACGAGCTCCAGCGGCATTTGAATGGCAATCGATTCATTGTACTCGCCGCCGGTGAGCTCAATACGGTCGTACGGCTTGGCGAGAGAAATGGCGCCAGCAATGGACTTTTGTGAGGAGGTCTTGGCATGGGCGTTAACAACGATGGTGCGAACTTTCTTCTTTTGCCAGTTGCTGTACCGCTGCACAATCACGTAGCCGGATTCTTCATACATTTTTGATGTCTGTTATAAAGCGGTGTCACTATGGATAGGTGTTACAGGTCACGAACTCAGTGCACAAGTGAGTTAGAGAAAAAGAAAAAGAACGGGGGGTGGGGCGGGGTAGTGGTGGTGGACCACAGCAGTTTTGCAAGCCTGACTGACGGAAAACAAACCACAGTTGGAGATCAAAACTACAAAATCGATAAAAGTACTTCAACCAAGTGACCTTTACATCAATACGTTGAGTCGCGAAGAACAGAACGAGTCCAATAGGAAGTAAAAACAGAAAGGCAGGAAAATACACACACAGAAAATATATGTACAGTGTGATCTCTAAACGAAACAAGAAGAAAAAATAATCGTATTTCTCCAATTGCTATTCCGGAACTGCTGGAAGTAGAGGTGGGCGTGCAAACCGCGGCAAGCACAACCAGACCTCCAAAAAAAAAATGTCACCTTCCGTGTAATGACTGAAGTTGCGCACACGCCGTGGATGCATAGAATATGCATCAGAAAATGGTCGCATATGACGCAATTCGAAGAGCAAGAGCAGCAACAATGAATAAGCGCAACAAGAGGCAGGAATAGGGCGAGACAGAGGTGAGAGTCGGAGGTGCAGCCCGTGCGCACACCTAGACGGTGCAGTGCTCGAAGATGCACAGCGAAGGTAGCTGCAATGAAACCAAGACTGACGCAGCTGCAACAGCTGCCAGAGTGGCGATCCAAATACCAGGAGGTGTGAAAGCACCCCTCATCCAGTAGATCCAAATGAAAAGATTCCGGCTGACGCGCTGAACTTGTCATTCCATAATACCTCTTTACAGTATTTTGGCAGAAAGATACGGGCTTCGTCTGGCAGTTTTCATATATATTTATTTTCGAACGAGTGGCGCAGTCAAATCAGACTGAAGCGCGAATAAGGCATCAAGATGTATAGAGAACCGAAAGAAGGAAATAGGAGAGAGTTGGAGGAGGAAAAAACCTCCTCCACCCAATAATAATAATAACAGTACTAATAACCGGGTTTTTTTTTTAATGACGTCAAGCACGAAGAAGATAGAAACATACAAACTGTTGGTCCGGTTGTGGGAAGCGCAGCTTTCGAAACGCTCTCCTTTTCACACTTCTCCTTGTTCCATTGCAGGGCTCACACACAACAGCATTGCTTACGCAAGCTTCTTTGTGAGCTCACCGCTCTTCTGAATCGCCTGGAGGTCGCTGCACCCACCGATGAACTCACCGTTGATGAAAATGGCTGGCACGGTCTCGTGTTGGTACGTGTCGTACAGCTGCTTCCGCAGGTCCTCGCCGTTCTCCATCTCGTCGACCTCGTAGACCTTCATGTCCGTTGCGAGTGGCTTCAAGATCTCCTTTGCACGCACGCAGAAAGGGCAGTGCACCCAGGAGAACATCACCACCTTGTGCTGGGGGATGAGCTCGGCAACGGTTGCGGCAGACATGGCTGAGGAACTGCGGCGGAAAACTCGGGTAAAAATCATACGAAACTGGAACGCGTGACGAACAAGTAACTTGTGGCGTGTGATCGAACTTGACGAAGATTCAAAGTAGCAAGAGGCCGGAAGGAAAGTGGAGGAGGGAAACTAATAATAATAATAATAACAGAAGAGAAAGCCAAGAAGGCGTGGCGCAGCAAGCGTTGTTCCGGGGCGGTTGTGAAACACTACTGCCGCCGCTAATGCCACTGCGATCGAGCAACGCGCCATCGGCTCTCATTGAAAGAGGAGGAGAGCAGCGCTGATGGGAACCGACACGAATAGTTCGAAAAGAGAGATTATTAGGAATATATATATATATATATATATATATTCTCGTTGTAGCGGAAAGGTAGAACAAACGAAACCACACAGAACAGCAGCCGTGATGGCTTCCAGTGAAATCACCACGAGACGCGCTTCTCGATAAATTCATGGAGTATCTTTGCATCTCTTGTCATTTCGTGCAGCCGCTGCATGACTTCCTCCTTTGAGACTCGCTTGTTTTCGCGGAGATAGAGAAACTCAAACACGGCCACGTCTCCCTCAGCGCATGTGTGCTGGAGAATTGTGTCGATCAACACTGCTGCTTCTCTCGTGGTCAACGAGGCGTGGTTCAAATGAACGCGGCGGAGTGTCTGTGCGGTGCAACGCGCAAACGCCTGCACGGCCGCGGACCAGGCGGCGAACACGTCCTTATCGCCATCCTTAACCCCGTTGTTGTCGTCTTCACGCGCGCCACCCACTGCGTTATTCGTCAGCCCTAAGACCTCCAATGCGAGAGCGGGATGGGATGGTGTTGATAGGGAGACGGCACGAAGAAGAGCAAGAAAGCCGGCGGTAGTAATTCGATTGGAAGCGAGCAGAAGACGTTGAAGGTGCGGGAGGCGAGGGAGTAGATGCGCGCACAGGCGCTCTACCCCGTCGTCGCCGAGGAGGTTACACTCCAGGTCCAGCGTCGTCAGGGAGTTGCCCAGCGGAGCAGGTGAGCTGGGCGCCACGGGACGGCTCCACAACCGACTCGGCGACAGCAAGATGGGCGTCAAGGACGCGGCGGCCTCTGCATCGGCGTCGATGTGCCGCGCCTGCAATTCGCAGTGACGCAGCTCAATCCCGCTGAGCGACTTCAGCGCAGAGAGGGGGAAAGGGGTTTGTTCTGTAGCGGTATTGGAGCTGCGTGCGGAGTCCTGTTGGTTCTCCAAGCCGCAGAGAACCGCCTCGAAGGCTGCCAGCACCACCGTTGGCCAGTCACGGTTCTCATCGTCGTCGCCATCGCGTGCAGCGTCACCGTGCAGGCCGGCGTCCGTGTTGCTTTCCGCACGTCGACGCTTGCGTTGCTTTGCTACTGCAGATTGGAGCTGTGTCCCGTTGATTTTCAGCAGAAGCCCTCCCGATGAGCGCCTCTGATGCTCCATCTGCGTGTGATAATGTTGCAGCTGTCGATGAACGGACACATTGAGAAAGCTTCTAACATGCTCTTGCATTTTCTGTGTGGGTGTCTCGTGCGGACAGCTCGGGCTACAAACTCTTCAGTAAAAATGGAGAGGTGAAAGGAAGGCTGGAGCGATGCAAGTGTGATGCGCAGTGTGCCACGGTAGATTTTCTGAAGCGCACAGAGCGCAGTGGAACAAACGCACACGTAACAACACCAACAAAAAAGTACAGCGACGACAGCACCCGCCATCTTTTAAAACGACGACGATGTTCACAGCGGGCAGCAACCGAAAACAGATACAAATGAGGGCTGCTGATGGGAGGTCATGTGTACAGCACCTGGATCGTTTTCTACCTTGTGTTCTTGCTTTTGTCAATAGTAGAGGGAGGCGAAGCGTGTCAGAAGTCTGAAGAGGGAAGAGGGTAAGCTTGCTACGCTCGCACACGAGACAATACACATGCGCTGCGAAAAAAAAAACCAACAGCAAAAGAAACTGCCTGCACACGGGAAGACTTTAAAAAAAGGTAAAAAAAACTACTGCGAATGTCCACAAACACACTAGCGAAAACGAAAACGTAACAATACTCATTTGGCGTCGAAAGAAGCACCAGCAAAAGAGAAGAGGAATCTGTAAGTTAGTCCTTGACCGTTGTTGATTCGATTTCGCCGAAGCTCGTGCGGCCGCGCATTCACGTCGCCGATGACGATGACACTTTCAAACGAACACCAAACGCAAACATGAGTTCCGCCAAAATGGGAGCGTTAGAGGGAGAAGGCGAGGGAAGAAAACAAACACACAAAGAAATCACTTCCAGTGTTACACACAGTGTATTATGTTTCGCGAAAAATAACGTCATCACTTATCACGTCACCGCAACCAGATCAAATACAAGTGTAATACGCGACGCCAGCCGTTGACGTGGTGCGAGCGCTTCTTGCTGGCGATTCAGTCGCATGCCTTTTGGGGAGTGCACCTGCAAAGCATCAACGTTACAGAGTCTTCATGCTTATTATTATTATTATTACTGTTTTACTTCTTACGCCGAGCTGTTCTCCCCGTTTCACTGACACAAACTCTCATCCGTGGTCGAGCGCCAGTCACTGGAAAAGCAGCAGCAACAACAACAGCCCAGCACTTCGAGCCAATTGTCCACCTTCGACGTTTAGGCGAAGGCGTCAGCGGAGGCAGAACGGCACACGCGAGACACCACCCTTCCTATTCCCCGCACGCTTGTGTTACTCGTCTTCGTCGTGGTACTCCACCGTCATACGCGGGCGGCCACGACGGCGCGGTGGCAGCAGTTTGCGGTAGTGCTCCGTGTTCCCCTCGGACACCTCGCTGCTGCTCACGATGGAAATGCCGGAGCGGCGCATCATCTCCTCCACGTACTCCTCGTCGTACTCCTCGCTCTCCTCCGACTCCTCCGTCTCGTCCGTCTCCTCGCTCTCCTCGTCCTCCACGAACTTCTCGCACACCACCACGTAGTCCATGGTGGACACCGCGTACACCATCGCCGGGGCCTCGATGCACAGGCCTACCGTGATGCCCACGCAGACGCCAAACATGCGATAGCCGAGGTAATGGCCGAGAATAAAGGAGAGCGGGACACCGATGCCCCACAGACTGGTAAGCAGGATGACCGCCCCGAGGTGGTTCTTGCCCATCCCGCTGAAGATGCCCTGGAAGGTGAACTGCACCGAGTCGCAGATGTGAAAGATAGGTAGCATGAAGAGCACCTCACGCGCCAGCCCCAGCGTCTTGTCTTGAGTGCCGAATAAAGACATGAAGAAGTCAAAGAAGGTGACTAAAATAGCAGAGTCAATGAGCCCTAAGAGGAACGCGACGAGGATGGACACGAGCACAAACCGCTTCGCACTCACCGGCTCAAAGGCACCGATGCAGCGACCAATGTTCGCACACGCACTCGCACTCAGGCCGCCTGATAGAGAGGCGAAGATGAAGAGGGAGTTCATGATGGCTGACCACGCAGCGCCGTCCACCTCGCCAAAGCGTGCGCACAGCAGCACCGTCACATCGAAGGACGACGCCTCAGCGGCGACGAAGATGGCGCTGGGGATGGCTAGCTTCATGTACTCCTTCACATCGGTCCAATCCAGCGCTTCCGCGATGCGCCACTTGCCCAGCGTGATGCGCGTCTCGGGTTTGAAGAGGGTGATGACGACGACGACGACAAGCTGAAACCACGCCGTGATCGCCATGCCCAGCATCGTATACCGCACGCCCATCGGCGTTAGCTTCAGCTGCAGAAACGGGGTCATGATGACGCCGGCGGTCAGCGCGATCATCGGGATGTGCGGCTGCATCTGATTGTTAAGGAACTTGTTGAAGGCGATGAAAAGCACCATGGGCACGAGGTACAGCGGGGAGTAGGTCAGAAACTCCTCGGCTTCCTTCGCGATCACCTCGCCGTATATCGGCACGAGAATGCGGTCAAGAAAGTAAATGAGACCACACAAGGGGGCTAGCATGATCATGTTGATGAGCGCACCACGCTGCAGCACGAGCCCCATCTCCGGGCTCAGCGGGTCGCGGCCGTACTCGTGCGAGCACAGCGTATCGAGGGCGAAGGTCAGGCCGACCATTGGGTAGGAAATGAGAATGCTGATGAGGAAGTAGCCCACCGAGGCGCCGGTCAGCTCCCGCGGGCCGAGGTAGCTGCCCACGAAGGCCAGAGGCACCACCGACATGGAAAAGGTAAAACAAATGGAGACAGCAGCAGGAGCGGCAAGGTACAACAAGTCCATCGTAGCGCCGCACCACGATATATTGTCTTGCGACTCGAAACTGCCGTCGTTCGTTTCCGCGTAGTCCGCGTTTTCCTCCGCAACGTTTTCGTCGGCGTCAGAATTGATCTGCACTCGGCGCAGGGGCGAGAGGAGCGTTGCGGCTCCCAGTCCAGACGATGACGCCGATGCCACCGCCGCGGTTGCGCGCTGCTCGGCCTTCGGCGTGGCCAAGACCAGAGGTGTGTGCTCCGGCACCGCCATCGTGCCACCTGCGTAGCCGATTTCCTTCGTGTTCAAAAAGGACTTGCTCGGCATCCGCACCTTCCGCTCTTCAAACGCGCGCAGCGCACGCGACGCACGCGCGATGGTGGTCGGCGACAGCAGCTGCCGCTCGTGGCGCGCGGCGCTGTGATCCCGCATGAGCTGCACCGCCAGCAGATCGGGCGACGAGTCGCGGAAGTCCATCTCTGCCACCGGCGCCAACGTCGGATCGCCAACGGGGGCCACCTTCAGCTTCCGGAAGGAGTTCTGCAGCTCCGTGGCGTGCAGTTCACCCAGGCGAGCGCCGGCGCTGTAGGAGCGACGCGGCAGCACGATGGGCTCTTTCAGAAACCCGCTCACACCGGGCTTGGACGCGGCAGTGAAGCTGCCCTCGCGTGAGCTTGACAACGTCCCCTGCAGCGGTGACACCTTCTTCATGGCGGATGCTGACGGGACAAGGTCGAGCGCAATTGGCGGGGGACGGCGGGCGGTCATCGACGTGTTGCGCGAGTTGGACGGCCGACTCCCCATCGACGGCGCACGTGACGGCCGGTTTGTGGCCATCAGCTGCGCGCGATTCGGCACCGTAAAGACCGCCCCGTGGGCAGAGGTGAAGCTGCCGTGAAAATAATTCTTCTTCGCCTTTTCTGCCAGACGCGCAGACTGCTGGGCAACGGTGAGCTGCTTCGGCGCGCGGCGCACATACACCATACGAGAGAAATGCACCGGCATCGAGGAGGCGCGGAAGACAACGTTGCTGCCGTTGCCCTCCATCGTGCCGTAGTTGCGGCTTTGGGCGGCGTTGGCAGCCGCCTGCTTGCGGCGCGCCGATCCTTCGCGGACGGGGGGGACGGCGGGGATGAAGACCGGGCCACCGCCTATACGGCCGATCGATGAGGTGCGCAGTGCTGCATCTGCACGTTCACGTGCGTTGCGGCGGGTATTCGGCGACGCCGGCCCATTCGTATTCGAATTGGTGCTCATGTAGAACCTCCAGAATGATGGTGCGTTGACTGCGGCTGCAAAGCGATACCCTACGAAGATCGAATACACACTAATTATATATATATCGAAGTCTTAATGGGCCACAACAACATCAAACAAACAAACAAAAAGCCTAAGCAGCTTGAACAGCTGTACAGGCAGTGGCGCACGCAATAACAATAATAAGAATAACTAACTTCGATCCATTCGCAACGCAGCAGCGGCCAGGAACCCCCAGAAGAAAAACAAATTACCCACTCTTTATCTTTTCTTTCCTAGTTATTTGGAGAACGCAGCTTCGTTCGACGCGCCGTGCGGCTTGATTTGACTGAAAGGACGTACGTTGAGAGGTGTAGAAACGACGGTCCTGCAGAACAGAGGCGAACCACGTGGCACAAAGCTAGGAAGTGATGTAAATAATAGCGGATGATTTGTGAAGAGAATGTGATGCGTCTGCAAAGGCGAAAGGAGGAAAGAAGGCAAAAAATAAAACAACGAGCAAGGAGCGGCCTCAAATACGAAAAAGAACGAACATTAAACGTCCCCACGCAGCACGAGCAACGGAGATGAACGTACGCGGTCTTTGGGAGAGTTCTGGGAAACTAACAAAGGAAGAACAAATAGAGAGGCCACAGACAACAACAGTTGGCCGGCGCGTCGTTAAGCCTACAACAGGCACGAGACCGCTAAACACAGACGCCGAAGAAACACAAACAAAACAAAAAAAGCAAAGCCAGATGGCTTATTCGTTTCACTCGCGTGAGGTTATTGCTTTGATAATATGGGTGTGGGTGAATTGAACGACAAGTCAGACCAAAAGACGGAGGGGGTAAGAGACAGTAGAAAAACACGGAGACCCAGAGTCGGTTCACAAAACATACCTGATGGTGTACGTAGAAGAGAGAAAGAGGTCATCGAGAACAGCTTGACAGACTTCATAATGTAAATCCGTTCAACATTTGCGCAAGTCATCGGAGTTTCACAAACTTTTTACGGGGAAGGCTCACAGGGCGCGTAGGGCAGATCACCACGGACCAACGAAACGCAAAAGGAAGAGTTAATTCCCCCCTCAAAAAAACAAGCTGCTTCAGGTGCAACGCAACGCATCCTTTTTCTTTCCTTCTCTACTGAAGAATCTTCTCTTTTGCTAGATGGGCACTGCAGATTCTTGTCTTCGTTGCAGAGTGTCCTCAACATCTACGTGGGTACAGAGAACGTTGACCAGTCCCCACCATTCGCCTCTTGGCGACAGATAGGCAAGTACCAGAAAAGCGAATAATACCTGCCAGTAGCAAAGAATCATCCATTTCGAAATCCATCTGCAACGACGGCAATGCAGTCAGTGGCGCTCCGCCCAGCGACGAAGCCGTTCCCGCATCGCGCGTTCCTCGACGAGCTGCGCACACACGCCTTCGTACGCCTTCCAGTCGAAGTCCTTCGGTGCGTACTGCCGGACCTTCTTCGGCAAAAACCGCTGGTCGAACACCTCGTAGGTGTGTTCCTCGTTGTAGCGCAGGTAATACGCGTAAAAGACGAGGGCGGTGCCGATCGTAATGCAGTACGACACCGGCTCCATGATATCCCAATCGAGATCAAAGTAGGTGAGACGAGAAATGACAGCCAGTTGCGTGCCGGCAAACAAAAGTGCACCGCCCCAGACGCTGCGACGCCACTTGGCCGCTCGCGCTATCGCAGGCCGCAGCTGCTCCGCCAGCTCCTGCTCCTTTTGGCACAGCTTCTCAATGCGTCGTTCTGCTTCTTCCAGCATAAAGGCACCCACAGACGATCCAGTGGAAGGAACGGGTGTTCCGTCACTACTACCGCTACTACCATCGGTACCGTTTTGCGTCTGCGACAGCAGTTCCACGGTCTCGAGATAGAGCACGGGCCGGAGATGGATCAGCGTTCCACCGTCCAGTGCGACGACAACACCCGCAGCTTCCAGGTCCGCAAGGGCGGCGTCAGGATCGTCCACGTGCGCCTGCGCACAAAAGCGTAGGAATCTCTCACGCGGAATCAACACGTGGCCCTCACCAGGATGAAGCTCCGCCCCCAGCTGCGTGCCGTCCAGCTCCGCGTACTGCTGCAGTGCCTGACGAAGGAGCAGCTGTGGGGCAATGGTGGCGAAATCCGCGGCAGAGAGTGCGGCGGCGGTGGAGGCCGTAGCGAAAGCTGTGCGGGAAGTGCCGAGGAGACGGCAGGCAGTGCAAAGCGGAGCCGCGTATACGCTGGACCGGGTGTTGGAACTTCCCCACGCGACTCTACGACGTTGCACGTGAGGCGGCGTCGGGCGGAGAAGCCGCGAAAACGAAGTGTGTCGCATCGGCACACCCCAACGGGGGAAATCTATGCGAATGGTGTGGCTGTGTTTTACACACACACAACAGAAGTACTGAAGCCGAGAAGGGGAACGATTGTTGGGCTAACGTGGACAAGAAAAGCGGGTTGTCACGCAGGTGGCAACTTCAGTCAAGAGAATTGAGAAAGCCTGCAAATTACGATTGTGAAAGCCGAGAGGGAAAAGAAGGCAGTGAGAGAGGCGTGACACACAAGATGGAGCTTCTCGTGCATCATTTCGATTTAGCGGATGTGGGATCAAATTTTGATTGCGAGGTGTTGCGCAGCAGACACGCCACACAGCCTTTTCTCCTATCTACGCACACATCTTCCCCGTACTCTTTTCTTGTTGTTGCGACGTTGCGTCGCATAAAAGACGTTGACGCTGCTTTCAACATGTTCCTTCCCCCCCCCCCTTTTCCTTTCGTGCGTCTCTTCACTTTGTATGAGGCGATGTCACCATGCAGGGGGCAGGTCGCTGGTGCTTCCTCTGCAACACGGAGCTTCTTTCTTTCCTGTTTTTTTTTTACTGTCATCTAAACCCAATAATAATAAAAAAACCAAGAAGAGGTGTCTGCCAAACTATTCCAACAACTGTCCTACCACTGAGTAGTTTGCACCGTTGCATATATATATATATATATAACCACCTCTTACGAAGAAAACAAACTGTGCCTTACTTCTCTAGCGACACTCAAGAAAAAAAAAAAGAGAAGCACATCACCCGCCTCACCACTGTGTATGGCGCTGTCAGCCCCTCCCTCCCAAAAAGAGACTCAAAGAGGAACAGGAATCGCCATGCCCTCCTCTTCCATGAGAGCCTGAGGGGAAGCAGCTCGAGCTTCCTCTCATTCACCAATGCCGTACGGCACCCACGCAAACTGCCCCACATCGGAGAACAACAAGCAGCCCGACCCGCCATCAAAGCCCATCCAGCACGCAGGCAACAGGGCGGTCGATTCCTTGCGGAGCGAAAAGTCGTCCTCCTCGTGCGGCGTGAACTCGCCGATGAGGTGGCGCGCGCTCGTGAAGGTGAGCGTTTGCGCGTCGCACGGTGTGTTGTTCTGCGCACGACTGTCCAACCCAGCTTGGCTGAAGGACAGAGAACGGCGAAGGTGGTTCATCGGCTCCGCCTCTCCCGGCTTTTCACGCAGCATCGCCTTCTCATCTCCCACGCTGCCAGAAAGGTACGACGCGTAGATGGCGCGACTCGAGACTTGGCTGCCGACGCAAGGTTCTCGCACGTGAGTAGTTACCTCAAACTCACCACGCGTGACATCCGCGTCTTCCTTCGTACTGCAGCGGAGCGCCAGCACGCCGAGCAGCTGGCGCTCCGCGTTGTAGCACGCAAAGCCGTGATGCGGCAGCAGAGGCGAGAAGATCGCCACATCCATGCCGGGGTGGTTGCGGCGGAACAAAGGAACTTCATTCGATAGAAAGGAGACGTACACCGCGCCGGGAGGTGCCCGCAGAGCGTAGCCCATCGGCACAGACATTTTGACGGGGGCATGCATATAGCCGTGCTCTCCCGTGGAGAGGACCCAGAAGGTGAGGGCCTGGAAGGCGGCATCGACGGCGTCCACAGGGAGCCACTGTGCACAGACGTGCAGCCCACCAAGGTTACAGGCGGCGTGCGACAGCGGCGGCAACTTCTGCGCAGCAAAGGTCGGCGTGGCGAAGCCGCTGGGGAGCTGTAAAGCGGAGTTTGGCGCCGAGGCCTGCGATGACAAGTTCGTCGGCGCAACATCCGCCGTGCCTTGTGGGGCCGCTGCTCGTGGTGCCTCCGCCCCGAGCATTATGCGCGCCTTCCGCCTCTTTTCCTCCTTCGCCGAGCCACGTGACGCGCGAAAGGCTTCGTTGACCGGAAGCGGCGCCAGCCCCCGCACGTTCGTTGCGCTCGTGTCGCGGTGCGACGGGGGCTGCGTGCCTTCACGAGACGAGACGCTGCCGTGCGCGGCAGGAGTGCTGTGCTTCGACGGCGTCGCTTCGCTTGCGAGCGTGTCGTTGTCGAGGCCTGTAGCAGCTGCCGCCGCCGCAGAGCCAGCGCGAGGTCTCGTCCCGTTCACGTGCGGCTCTGGCGTTTTGCACCACAACTGCGACGGTTGCTTCAAAGGAGTCGTATTCTGGGCATTGGGGGTGGTAGTCATCGTATGGGATGGAGCTACGGCAACGTTCTCCTTCGAAGTCGCGCTCTCACGAGTAGAATAAATCGCAGATGACTGTTTTCTCTTCTCACCGATCGCCTTCACCGTGTCCTCCCCCTCCTCATCTCGCATTTCGACCACCGAGTGGGCCACGACGACGGAGACCTGGCACGACGGCAACCGGCGGGGATGTGCGGTGGTGTCGCGACGGCGGCGCGTGGACCGGGGAAACGTGGTGTCTTGGGTGCGGCATGCGTTGCGTGAGACGGGACGGGACAGTAGGCTGTGGAGCACAACATCCTCGACGTCTGCGGCTGCAAGACCGTCTTCATCGTCCTCCACAATCTCGCGTGTGGCGGAAGGCAGCACGACGTCTGTCACACTCTGGTTGGAGCGCCGCCGCGCCGCAGAGGAACGCAGACCCGGCTGCCCGACCTGCGCCTCGCTGTGGCTGTTGTAGCTCGCCGCACTGCGCAGGAGTACCGCGCTGATTTGGTTCTCGTCGCCGACGTGCTGCCGGAAGAGGGAGTCCGGCAGAAACGTGCGCGGCACCTTCGCGGGCAGCGTGGCGGAGCGCACGTTCGTCACGGCGAAGTAGCGGTCGCGGTCGGTCGGCTGCAGGTCCGCGGCGAACCAAAACACAAAGGCCCCGCCCAGCGGCGCGGTCCAGTGAGCGCCGTTCGGCATGGCAAAGCGCTCCCCGGGTAGCACCCAGCCGAACCACTCCACGTCGTGGTGCGCACCGGTGAGTGCGAAGGGTACGTGCCGCGACACCCGACCGCCCTTCTGCATGGTCTCGGTGCAGCACGAGGGCCAGGGCAGGCCGCCGCTAAACTCAATCGTCGTCTTGACCAGTGACAGCTCGCTTCGGCGCAGTCCTTGGCTTGGGTACGGAATGAGAACCTCTCGCACCTTCACTGTGTAGATAACCTGACCCTTCGAGTTCTGCTCCGGCCGACGCTCGTAGACGGCAAAACCGCCGAACACCTGCAGAAGAAAGCCACAGTTCAGCGGGGCGACGTCTTGGGTCGCGTTCGTGCAGCAGCTCGCACTGGCGCTCGCCACCACACTCATACTCGCGTTTGGGCTTTGCAGGGCGTGCGCTGCGTGCTTTCGTCGCTGCCGCCCATTCGCGGCCGCGCAGAGGGGGTACAAAAACGTCGTGTAGGTCGACTCCGACGCAAGGCCGACCGCAGGCAACAGGTCGCCCTCGTCGCTCCACGACGGCGAGGTGATCCCGGTAGATTGGTGATCGCCGCCTTTGGGGCACACCGCCGCGCCGCTGCGTGGCTTCTTGCACAGCACACACACCTCCGCAAAGGTGTAGCGACGCGCGCCAGGGTTCAGCTCGACGGTGCCTGTTGGGTTCGGCAATCGAAGAAGGTCGTAGCCGCCAAGGGCGAAAGGAAAGCGGCGGATCGGAGTTAGGCGGTGCAGGTCCTGCAATACGCGGTCCACCGTGGTGAGGGACGGGCGTGTTGAGGGGTCCAGCGAGAGCAGCTGCGCCACCACGGTGGTCAACGTGCCGCCGTAGCCGCGCGGCTCCAAGTCGCGCCGCAGCCGCCTCCACAGCACATCGGGGGTCATGGCGGCCGCGTTGAGGGGCACTTCTTCGATTACGCGTGCACGACGGGGACTGCGCAGCACTGATCGATTGTTGTTGCCGTTGTTGTCGGACAGTTCCACGGCGTGCTGCGGGCTCGGTAGGTGGACACGACCGGAGGCTAGCAGGTACAAGACGATTCCTAATCCCCACACGACGCGTTTCGTTGAGCCGGGGACAAGTGGAGGGTACAGCGTGGGGTTGCATTCCTCCGGCGGACGGTACAACGGGAGCTGCTGCTGCGACGGCGGTGGTGGCGTCTGCGACAGCGGCAGTGCGGTGTCCGCTAAGCTCGTCGGCGATGCGTCTCCGTTCTTCAGGCTGTCGGCTCGTGCCGCTGTGCGCTCCTCACAGGCAGACGCCGAAAGCAAGAAGACGGGCTCGTCGTTCCAGTCGGCTGCCCGAGTGTCTTTCGCACTGCCGTTTTGATGCACCACGATGGAGTCGCAGGTGGGCACCGATGCCGCTGCGGCCGCCGTCGCAGAGCGGCCGGCGATGGTGTCCCCGCTCCGGACCGTGAGTTGGGCAATCGTGATGTGATGCAGCATGGCCAGCAGCAACGCTTCCGGGATCGGCTTCCCGGCTGCGTTGAACGTGACGGCCCACTGCCGCAGGCTTTGCGGGTAGCACGGCATCCACATCACCGCCAGGCTCAGTTCCATGTCGTAACGCTTATACACGTACTCCTGCAGGGACAGGATCGGCACGCAGAAGCTGGAGCCGTTTACAGCCACGCAGGTGGCACGCGCGATTGCCTGCTTGACGTTGTCTCTGTACTGCGCCGGGGTGAGGTAAGGCCACGGGGTAGTTTGAAGAACATGGGGGATGTGAATCTCTGCATCCCTGTGGCTCAGCAGCCCTGCATACGTCAAGGCGCTTCGCCACACCTCCTGCCGTCCACGGAAGGAGAACGCCGCTCGCTTCACCGATGCGTCTTCCGCTTCGTGATCGCGTCGGCGACGACTGAGAGCGTAGGTGTCCCTATCATCCTCTCCTGGAAAGCTGATGGCTGCGTAGATCTTCGCCACAAGTCCGTTGCGCTGCAGCACCGCTCGGTGGCATGGGGGAGCCGAGCTAAGGGTCTTGAGATCTAAGTTGTCGCCGTGGGAAGCCAAGAAAAAGATGCTGTGCTCGCTTATGTGGTGCACGGAGTCGAGGAAGGTCTTTGACGTCGCCATGAGTAAAACACCCAGTTATGACGAAGGCCACATAAAACGCGCGTGCGTGGGTGAGCAGAATGTGCGGAAAAGGCGAAAAGAAGAGGGAAAAAAGTAGATGGAAAGGGAGTCCTGTGTTAAAGTCTAAAAAGGTAATCAAAAGAGCCGGTATTTATATATAAAGGTAAAGTAAAGCGGAGAAGTTGAAAGGATATCGATGTACGAAAACAGCAAAACACATGAACTACCACAACGTACCGAAGCTGTGCGGTGTTGGCTGTGCAGCGTATTTTGCCTACTTCACGTAGCGGTGAGTGCAGGCGTGGCAGAGCAAATGGACCTTTTTCCCAAAAGTAAAAAACAACAAAAAAAACTGCGTTGTCAGAGTGATACGAGAGCGATGATGATGGTGGATCTACTGGATCTATTGATCTATGAAACAAAAGAAGAAACAAATAAAAAAGCAAGTAAAAGAGAAAAAAGTACAACGGGACTATAATGGCTTTCGCGCCGTCCCGCGGGAGGAAGATCGCTGTAGAAGGGTGTGACGGATATCCGTGAGAAAAGAGAAGAGAGAGAGACAAATATGAGTAAAGTAATTTGAACACATCGAAAGGAAGTAGAAACATCTCTCTCTCTCTGCATGTATACACATAATAAGGAAGACGCGCCGCGCTACAAAGTGCACTTCGCAGCGTGCTTGTAAGCTGACAAGAACAGAGTGTCACGTGCTGCGAAGACGAGTGCTATTAAAGCAGCGGTAAACCTTATGCTGAGTTTCATTCACAAGGCACGAAGCGCGAAACAGCAAAAAAAAAAGCTTAATGCCCAACTCACGCACTACGTTTGCCGCCGCTTCTAGTGAATGGACATATTGCAAGGCGCTATTCAACCTTCTCGCTACCGCAGCCGGGAACAACGTTGGAAGTAAATACTTCACAGTCATCCCTTTCCATTATTGATTAGAGGATTTATTTTGCTTTTCATTCGTGTTGAGTATCACAGCATTTCTTTGTACAACAACAACAGAGTTAGATGCTACAAGATAATGGAAAAAGAGAGTGGGGTTAGTAAAAGAAAAAGAAGAACAAGAAACGAACGCCCCCGTACTCATCTCCAAGCATACAACCAAGATAAATGATAATAATAATATTAGAAGGCAGAGAAGGAAAAAAGAGAAACGAAAAGGAAGGCATGCAACTGACAAGTGGCGTTTCGCAGATCACGAAGAGGCTTTCGTTCCGGTGCCGTTCTCCCAAGGACCCCACGCAATCGGATTTTTTTTTTTAAATTCCCCGGAGCCCCTTTTTCGAAGCCAGCCCTCTCAACAGATACGTGTATGCCGTATTACTGCCTTTCTCTTCCTTATTGGATGCGTTTGCGTATTCTTTGTCGACACCCACTTTGTATATATTTTCTTTCTGAATACCGCCACCATCTAATGCCACCTACTCTCAAGCACACGCACAGAGAAGCAAACAGGTCAAGTCAACTTCTTCTTTTTTTGCTTTCGATTTACGCAAAGTCCCTCACCGGTGCACTTTCACTTCTTTCTCTTCCCGAACTGCTACGAGTCTGCTGCCTTGTCTTTTCCTGTTTGTGCACGACCACAACGCAAGCGCGCAAGGAAGCGTTGCGCCGCCGTGTAAAGATGAGAAAGCTTTCGCGCCAGGATTCACACACCTACGAGAAAAGAGTCTTGCCCTTTTGTGTGCAACGAACAGCAAACGTGCCGCGAAACGGGGCCAATCGAAAAAGCCCAGCTGAAGCATTTTCTCTCATTTTTACGCAACAGCAATGTTGATAATAATAAAGACCAATAGCCACAAGCAAAGCAAAAAAAAAGGCAAGGTGGAAGAGCATACGCAGCCGAAGAACACGTACACGGTGGAAGTTACCGGCTTTGTTTCGTCTATTCGTTGATGCGGAGTAAGCAAAAGTTTTTTCTCTTTATATATATATATATATTGTATATCTCAGCGCAAAAGCTGCGCACCTTTTATATTTTTTCCCCCTTACCAGCGGAACGCAGCAAGATCGCCCCTGCATTCCGCACGACCTCGCAACGGCAATGAAAACAATAAATGAAGGTATTTCCTCTTGAGTTTCGCCCCCGAAGGCGATTCGCTCATCTCACACCGCGATCGTGCACTTTCAGAAGCAACAGGCAGATAAATACTGTGGCCTTTCCCTTGTGCGTACGGTGCGGACGACGGGTGAGAACGCACTCCGCGCTGCGGACGAAGTAAATTAGCAGCACCCGTCATCCTTCTTCTGTGGCTGTGGGTTGCCAACGTTCGGCCGTGGCGCCCCTTTCGCCTGCTCGCCGCTGACGGCCAGGCGGGCCTTGATGTCGGACGCCATGCGGATGAACGCCTCCTCGACGTTGGTAGAGTTCTTCGCGCTTGTCTCGAGGAACGGGATGCCGAGGGAGTTGGCGAAGTCCTGCGCCATCTGCGTGTCGACGGCCTTCTTGGTGACCAAGTCGCACTTGTTGCCGACGAGGATTTTGTTCACGTTCTCGCTGGCGTACTTGTCAATCTCGCTCAGCCACGTCTTGACGTTGTTGAAGCTCTCCATGTCCGTCGTGTCGTACACGATGATGATGCCGTGGGCGCCGCGGTAGTAGCTACTCGTGATGGTGCGGAAGCGCTCCTGGCCGGCGGTGTCCCAAATCTGGAGCTTGATGACCTTGCTGTCGAGATTCAGCGTGCGGATCTTGAAATCGACGCCGATGGTGGAGATGTAGCTGTCGGTGTAGCTGTCATCGGCGAAGCGGAGCAGCAGGCACGACTTGCCCACACCGCTGTCGCCGATCAAGAGGAGCTTGAACAGGTAGTCGTACTCGGCGGTCATCTTGAATACAGGGTACCTGTCGAAAACGAGTGGAAGAGAGAGGGAGAGGGGAGAAGGGGGAGAGGAGCACAGACGCACACACACACACAAGAGTACGAGTGATGAGCACTGATGACGGTGGCACCGGGAAGAGAAGCGCAACGTGGCGGTGTATAAAGGCGGTACGATGAAGAACAACACGGAAAGAGAGAAGAAGAAAACAAGCAAAGCAAAGAGGGAGTAGCGGTAATTCACTGGAGCGTAATGAGAAACAACTTTGCGTATTTCATTGTTGTTGCCGTCGGAGTCGTTGAACCGTTGCATTGCGGCATGAAGGACAAGGGAGGAGGAGAGAGGGAAAAGAAAAAAAGAAAGCACGGTGCCACAGAAGGGAGAAATAGAATTGCAACGAGGGGAAAAAGGAAAACAACGCCAGACGCGAAAGTGATGAGCTCCGGTAGCGCTTCATTGCCTGTTCGCCTTCGACAACAAAAGCGTTGGACAGCTGAGAATCCGCCACTTCGGTGGGTTTCTGAGATGCTGTTCAAGCCGCCTTTCTTCTATTTTCCAGAATACAATTTTTTGTTCCTCCTCATTATAAACTCGTCCACTGCGAAACAAGAAAAAACAAAAGACGCACATTTTTGATGAAACTCCATGAAAGACGCCGGCTTGCTGCCTTAAAAGGCGGTTTATGAGTTGCAACGAGACTCATATAGATAGTTTTAATAAGACGAAGAAAGCCTTTTGTGTATTGAGCCCGTTAAACATTTTTTTGTTTGTTTTGGTGGGTGTCATCGTGGAATGTGGCGGAACAAGTAACTCTTCCTTTGCGTACACACACACACCGAGAACGCCTTACAGATACGCACACCGAGTAAGGAAACAGAGAATAGACGTCAAGCGACTGAGAGAACCCGGTCGAGAAACCAAAAAAGAGAAAGAAAAGGGATGTTAGAGAAACATTACTTTTGGTTTGTTTGTGTGACAATTCTTTCGTACAGCCACGTCGCACACACGTGACAAGCTTATGTAGTGGTCAACAGTGCTGAAGAAAATCCGATAAGCAGAGGACGCGACGTCAGCGCGACAACACAGCAAAAAGAGGAGGAGAGAGCGCCGTCGACAAAGATGTGGAGCGCACAGGCGGACGCGTGCTACAGCACAACAGCTGTGTTGTTGGAAGAGAGAAAGGAGGGGGAGGGGGAAGTGAAAACGAACGCTGCCTTGCGGCTCGGCCTTCTCGTCTGGCTGTCCTCAGCGGGCTGCCGTCATTTGTCAATCACGGTCGCCATGTCCTTTCCTTCGCCCCCAGATCACCCGCGCTGCGCGCCTAAAGCAACAATTCAAAGGAGAGTTGCCACCCCGTTCACACTCCCACGCGCACATCCAGGCCATTACCAAAGAGACACAGCGAACGCACATACACGAAAGAAAGAGGAAAGGGGTCACTGCTACAGGTTGGACTTGATGTTCACGAAGTCGATCACCGTGGGCAGACGCTCCGCCTTGCTGAACAGAAAGTTCGCCAGCTCCAATTGTGCCGGGTGCTGCTGGTAGGCCTTCAGGTAATGCGCGTTTTGATGGCGGCTGAAGAGGGCGTGCGTGTTGCCATCGGGCGACTCCGTCTTCTTCGGGTAGGCATTCATGTCATTGGCACCAAAGTGCAGCTCAATGAGGCCCGGCACGGTTAAGCGAACCTTCTTAAGCAGCTGCATTAACTTCTCCCTATCCAACTCACCGTTGAGCTTCAGGTGCACGCTGTGACAGACGGAGTTAACAGCGGGGTCCAGCGAATGCTGCTTCTCCTCCGGCAAAGCGCTGACGCCTTCGATTTCCATTTTTCAAGGTCCTCTTGTGTTTTCGTGCAGTTAATTCAAATCTGAAAATGCTCCAGGGGTCAAGTGACGGCGTCCACAACAGCGGGTTTGTGGATGTTATTTAAAAAGCTCTTTTTTCTTTTCCTTTCTTTCTCACGTTCTGCGAAGCAATCGGTAAAATGCAGTTTGTTTAAGATGGGTGAGTGAAGAAGCAGGCAAACCTGTGGCGCGTGATCCGCAGTGCAGACGTTTGAGTCGTCGGCAAAATCAAGAGAGAGAGAGAGAGAGAGAGAGAGAGGAACGCACGAAAGAAAATAGAAACAGGAGAATAAAAGTGTGAAATACGCGTGTAAAGAGGCAGAAAGCAAAAGTCATTGCGTCAGCGATGGCGAAGGGTGTCTGGATAAGACACTGGCGCTTTCTTCAGTTGTCGGCGGATGCGCAGTGAACTACGTGGCCGTCAAACCAACAAAGTTGGCTGCTACAAGGGCAAAAAAAAAACCCAGCACTGGGGATTTCCCACAAAGAGAGGAGTACATACTTTATCTTTCTTCTAGAGCGTGTGTGCGTCTTTCTGGATACGAAGTCGCACACGTGCGCACTCAAGCACGCAGCAAGAAAAAAGAAAAGAAATAAAAGAGGCGACAACCGTCGAAGCCGAAACAACGAACTGAGGGGGGTGCTTCACCGTCATGCATGTGCCATTGTGATGGTGCAGCGCAGACGCAGCGTTCGTGTGCGGATGTCGGTTCGGCTATCTCTTTTTCTTCAGTCGCTTTGTGTATTCATTGCTTCTTGGGCACCGCGCAGTGAAATCATTTTAGTATGTCCGTGCTGTCTTTGCTGTTCTAGAGATTGGCAGGGTACACATCCAGCTCCATCCGCAGCGGCGGCGCAGCAACACACTTGATGAAGCGTGCTTGCAGTGCCTTGTGGACGGGGTGGTCGGCGTAAATGTGCAGCGACGCTGCATCCTTGTGACGCGAGACTAGCGCGTGCGTGTAACCATGTGTGGCATCCTGGTAACCCTCCCACGCCGTGATGTTCTTCGCGCCCATGTTGATTTCCAGAAGTCCAGGAATGGCCGCCTTGCGAAGCGACTCGACGCCTTCCTGAAGAGCGTTGCCGGGGAACTCCGCCTCAAACTTCGCAGGGTCGAACTTGAAGACGACAATGTGCTGCATTTTTTTTCTTATTTTGATGGGTGTTTTCGATGGAAGCCGAACGATAATGGTAAAGAGTCAGCAACGCCTTGAGGAAACTAAAGTAACGTTATGTTGAGTTTTTTGAAGAGTGGGACCGTCGAGTAAAAACGAAGAGTTCTCGAAGAGAATCTGCACCAGTTAGGAAAAGAAAATGCGTGGAAGGAAAAAGGAAACCTTAGCAGTAGCAGAAAGAAGAAATGAGAAGAGAGCGCTTCTCTTCTCTTTTTGGAGGGGGGACCCCCACCCGCCCACCCACCGGTCGACAATTTAGTCCTCACATACAGTCACAACAGTTAAATGATCTCCTAAGGCTTTTCCTTTTCAGTAGACAACACATGGAGATATATTATTTTACTGCTCTTCTCCTCTTGTAGATATTCTATTCGCTGCACGGCGCATACACGGTCAGGCTTCACAGCAAGTCAGCGCTGCACAGCGTGGAGAAGAAAGATGGGGAAGCACGACGCATTTACATACGGCGTCCACACAACCACAGTTTAAAAGGAGAATAATTGTAGAACAATCACAAAAAATAAAAAAGGATTGTAGATGAAAAGAGAATGGGTTACAACAATGAGGCCGCTTTGTGTGTGTGTGTGTGCTGATGTTAGAGCGTTTTGGGCTGCCAGTTCATCTCCATCCGCAGCGGCGGCGCTGCCAGGCACTTGAAAACGCGGTCCTGCAGCACCTTGTGGTCCGGGTGGTAGGCAAACACGTGCAGGGCGTTTGCATCCGTGTGGCGGGAGACGAGGGCATGCGTGTAGCCCTGCGTCATGTCTTAGTAGCCTTCCCACGCTGTGGTGTTTTTGGCGCTGACGTTGAACTCCAGGAGCCCCGGGATATTCGCCCGGCGCATCGTCTCGAAGGCCTCATACAGAGAGTTGCCGGGGAACTCTCTGTATGAGTTTTGCGAGGTCGAACTTGAAGAAGATAACGTGCTGCATGGTGGAGGATTGAAGCAACTGAAATGGGCGCTATAATGGAAGAGAGCAAGTGGGATGTGACGGTAGAGAAAATAAAAGATGAAGGCGACTTCTCTGGCGTGAGCGTGTGTGTATCCAGAAGGATGTGCGCAAGAAACGAAAAAGCGAAGAGGGGGCGACAACGCAGGAAAGGCGTACCAAAAAACCTTTTGAGGCGACGGCGGCAGCAGCACAGAGAGCTTCATGCTAACTCGCCGCTTTAGTGAGCAGAGCACTACGTTCCAACGAACAAAGAGGGCCGTTCTTGTGCATTGCGAGAGCCGCACGGCGCCGTATTTGTGGCCGAAAAGGTCGCCTACTGTGATACCGAAACACATGGAATAGCGACGGCAGTAACAACACGGCATCCTCTCAACGTTCTACCCACGTCCTTACGACGGTCTCGTTTCCTTTCTATTCCCTCGTTTCGTTCATTTCCCGTTTTTTTTTGTCGACGCACTCTGCACGTACTAGAGATGCCCAAGGTAGATAAAAGTAAAAGCCAGCTACAGGAAAAGAAAACAAGAGACGAGCCACGAACCACATCACCTGAACCCACAAACACGCCCACCCACGCAGCGAACGCGCACCACACAAATTTGTACAGGCCATAGCGGGCAAAAATCGGTAACGTTAAGATTTTGCAGAAAAGAAAAAATCTAAAATGAAAAAACAGATATAATAAGATTAGAGCGCAGCGCTTCAGGAAACACTGGAGCCAAACGACAAACAAAAAGGGCAAAGAGAAAAGGCGAATGAAGAAAGAGGGTCGGCGAAAAGGGCCAACTGCCTGCAAGCAAAGCCAGCAGCGCTGCACCCTGTGGTGTCCGTGAGCAGTCGCATACATACACACACACACACACAGAGACGTTCTCCGAGAGACGTGTCCCTTTCAACTGTTTTCATTTCATCTGCTTACCGGACAGAGTACTTTTGGATCTCGTGCCAGCGAATCTTCTTCTGTAGGTTGTGCAGGCAGAAGACGAGACTCTCCGCGGAGGGCGGGCAGCCGGGAATCCAACAGTCGACTGGGATCGACCGCTCGCACCCGCGCAGCACGGCGTACGAGAAGTGGTAGTAGCCACCGCCGTTGGCGCAGCTGCCCATCGAAATGACCCATTTCGGGTTCACCATCTGCACGTAGATGGTACGCAGCAGCGGGGCCATCTTGTTCGTGACGGTGCCGGAGACGATGATGATCTCCGCCTGACGAGGTGAGGGACGCGGCACGATGCCGAACCGATCGAGATCGTAGCGGGAGGAGTAGCTGTGCATCATCTCCACCGCGCAGCAGGCCAGGCCGAAGGTGAGGGGCCAGGGGGAGTAGGCCAGCACCCACTCCGTGAGGTCGTGCAGCGTCATCTGCGCGTACTGCAGCGCGTTGTTCGGCTTGCTCGTGCCGAGTTTGTGCGCCAGGGTCGTCTTCTTGCCTTTCTTCAAGTCCAGGCGGTGTGACCACTCGGGGCTGCCACGCGATATCATCGCGCGGCCCGTAAAGGAGGTGCGTGTGAAACGCAGCATAATGAACTAAGCAGATAAAAGGTAAATGGAAAAC